ATGTCCAGTTCGGTGACAGGTGTTGCGTCCAACTGCAGAAGAGAAATGTGCGTCAGCATGAATATCACGCGACGTCCATATGCTCTGCGTAAGCACACTAAATCTCTGCCTGATAAGATCGAAAATTTCCGGGTTGCGAAAGTCTTTTCTACATCAAGCAGGTAGAACGGTCCAGAACGTCCATCCTGACTAGGTCCCCGTCCACAAAGTGGAAAGTCATCACAGTTTGGGGGTAGTTGGGTAAGCGAGGATGTCCGGTGGGAAAGTACACTGCGTCCAATTCATGATTCGTCTCGGATCGAGTTTTCAAGTCTAGAGACATTTGCCATCACGGAAAACCAGCAAACAGATGGTGCAAAAGAACAGCTACAAGATGCTGCACACAAGCCGGGACTGTCTCGCCGAGACAAATCCAATGAGCGGAGCCGGTGCCCTCGATCGGATGCGCGCATAGGGTGACGTTTAAATCCAAGGGAACGTCTCCGTAAGTTCCACGCCTGAACGTCATAGAAAGTAGGTCCTACAAAGACTTTGAATTCGTCCTCCTCGGCAACCCAGCGATTCATATCCTCCTGGTCGTTGAAAAATTCAAAGGCCAGGTGATTCAGCCCACCAGAAACATCCTCAGATCCCCTGGGTTGAAGAACCGCCGTCTTCGTAAAGCCCTCAGGTTTCTTTGGCGATCGCTGGAGTGTTGACGACAGACTCGCCTCGGACGTGGCTTCAGGAGTAAATTTTAGCTTCCAACCAGCAACGTGAGCCGATAATTTCGGATGAAAGGCCACCAATCATGAACATGTCGGTCTGGGCAACGGTCAGCTAGGAAAGAGTCTTTTCTACGTCACATTGGCGGAATGGTCGAGGATAGAGATTGTCGCTTAGGGTATCCACCCTGGCTAGATTCCAGTCTCACGGATAACAGTACGATGACGCGACTTAGCTGGACGGTGGGACAGAAGAGAGACGGCAAGGTCACTGAGCTGTGGGGGTAATTCCAGTAAATATATAGCCCTGAGATGGCAAACCCTGCACATCCGATCCAGGTGATCATACTTTCATACGCCTCGAATGTCGACTGATGTGGATCGGCCTGTGCACTCACACGACCAACTGGTCACGCATCACATCAGTCGTCTTTCGATGACAATATTATAGAAGCTGTCACCCGTCGCCGAAGGCTGTTCTTATACATATATTGAGTATTTCATGGCGATAAACGGATCCTGCACTAGTAACTCGCAAAGGCATGTATTATCCCCGCCGCAGACTGGGTTACTAGACAGGGCCAGTGTGTTGTATTCTCAGGCGATCGGCAGAGTGCTGGTCAGATATTATCAAATCGAAAGAGATTTACAATCGTCGTAGCGTTAGATGGCAACGTTGTACAATGTTTAGCGAAAATGCCGTAATACCACCTCCCTTCGGCACTTTGACAGAAGTCATGCATGATGCAGTTGTGTTCCTCAAACCAAACCAGGTTCATTCAGACTCTTGAGATGATGTCAGTCTGATGTTGATTAAAATTCGAGGGTCGGGTTGAGGACGCACAATATACATGAAAGGCCGACCATTCTCTTTAGTCGCGACCAAACGAGCGGTCATCATATACCGCTATCACTTGGCCCAAGGTTCAGATGGGAAAACAATGAACGGTAATTTGGAGTGTTCGGATCTTCAAGATCTGACCCTTCCGGATCCACAGGTTCAAAGATCCACTGGAGCAAAGATAAGTGAGCACAACGGTAGGGATGGGATAATAAGTTCCGTTGAAGCGTACGCGTTGCCTGCGCCCAGTAGCGGTCCAAGTAAATCTGGTCGTCATGTGCAGCTACGCAGAACGAACCCATCCAAACGGATTATCAACGTCCTCGCCATCCGATGCATCGAGTATGGGACACTCACACTCCCAGCCTGTGGTTCACCAGACATTGATACCACCTGATCTGAACCTGAGGGGTACAGTCTAAAAGAACAATACGCAACATTACAAATCTCAGTGAACGGTAGAGCAGAATAATGCACAGACTGCACCACGGAGGTACACCATGTGTGAAGGCGACTAATACCCACACGAACTCGCACGGTGCTTCACCTTGTAATACAACCCAAGGGAAAACCTGATTGGAAGCTATAACTTCACTCAGTGAACTAAATATGCAAGCGAATAAAATCATGCACACCAACAAAATTGCCGAAGTAGCGCAACGTTGAGATAAACCGTCCAGAATATACACTCTTGAAGATATACTGCTGTGCCTCCTTGATAAAAAACACTTTCCACTATGTCATACGATCATATTATCGGTTGCCGGACCCCAGGTTATGGTAATGGGAAGTGCCAGGGACAATTGTTAGCACACACATAAGACACGCGCTCCGAAGAATACGGTCACTCCAAACTTACCTGCTGGAGCTTACTCCTCTCCCCTGAAAGGTCCTTTGAACAATTCAACAAAGGGCTTGAACAATGAGGCTTGTATGGGGATGGAGGAAACGTTTCATCTTGAGTCAAAAGGCCCCTCGTTTCGACGTTTCGGATCCTGTACTGTTGCCTCGTAAGTGGGGACTGCAATAGCAAGTTGTAGTCCTATCATACCGTTCCCGTTTTCAGAGATCCTCCACTGAACGATTAGATCCCAATTGAGGTCCAAGCACGAGATCAGGTCAGCCATCATCACTTGCCGAAAACATGAAGGACTCACTAAGGAAGATCTTGCAAAGCGGCGGGATCCACACCTTCCTCTGCCGGTTCAAATGACCACTGTCGACACAACATGGGGATAGAACACAACCAGTCCAGCGCTAAACGCACCCACCGTATCATATGAAATGGAGGTACAATCTTTTTCAGCGTTCATCCGAACCAGAAGCTTGACCTATTGTGAAAAAATCCATAAGACACCATAGTCTGAGAGGTGAAGGGAGGGGAAGCTGCAAACCATAGTGTTATCATTTCCACTTCCGCCATCCAACCGCGCGACGTGGGACCCACCCTGGTCCTGAATACTGATACAAAATCAAACATGAGATTACTCAGAAAACAATGGGAAAGAAAGACGAGAAAGAAACAGAGTACACACTAAAACTCCCCTTCCGATTCCCCCTGTCTTAAATCCCAGTGCACAGCGCCTATCTCCTCGTCCACGCCCACGAAAAGGCGTCCATCCCTCCCGCCTTCCTGAATGCCCAACCAGCGTTCAGTACCAACGTTTTTGAGGAAGTAAGTTTGGGTTAAATCGTGGGGTATTACTTTCCACTGGAATGATTGCAAATGTAAAGTTAGGCGAGTGAGTGGTTCGGATTCACGATGAAGGATGGGTGAAGGGGAAGAAAATGAGAGATTCAAAAGTACGGAAAGGAGAATACGTGTACAATAGCAAAGACGTACTTGTTGGGTGGTCAAATCGGACCCGTACCTCCGCCCCACGGCATAAGGGTATTTCTGCCCACTTTCAGGCTTGTCGAGCATGGTAAGGTACGTCCTCGAATGGGCATTCACGATTCGATACTGTGCATATAAGGGGTTTGATTCGGTGCAAATAGGTCGGTAGAATTGGAGAGTCAGATCACAATAGTTCCACGGTAACCTGAGAAAGGTATTCACAGTTCCTTCGGGAACAGGTGGAGCCCTGTGGAACCGCCAGAGCCAGAACCGGAAAAAACGATACCAAATTGGAGCCAGAACCGAACCATGAGAGAACATCAGTGAGCAGACAATGCCGCAGCATCAGCAAGAGCAAGAACCGAAAATTATAATAACTTGGTACTCACTCCACCAAAGGTGGTGCCTTTGGAATCTTCGGATATCTCGAAACACTCCTGAATTTCCACCTCTACGATTTATTGGGATCAGCACAGACAGCGGGGGGTCGAGAATTATCAATTCGTCAGATCGTCCAGCAGGAAATGAGACATAAAACTCACTGTTCCCGCCGTTCCACTACCGCCATCGACAACGTAATGTACCTATTGAGCGATAAACATTGGTGGATGCGAAAAAATAGGCCACGGAGACGGGAGGGGAGGAAAAGGTGTGGCTTCACCTGGGAGCCAAACCATGCCACAACGCCATTCGTTGGGGAGGACAGGATACTTCCGATCAAACCATAAAATCAAAAATGCAAACATTGCGTTCGAAGACAGAAAAACGAAACTTAAACTGTTCCTGGTCGCTTCCCAGACGCAGACGAAATACAAGTGGCTTAGGTCGACCTGCCCAAATCGTTGAGAAGGCGTGGGCTTACGCAGTTGTTCATAAGGTGGGAGGATTAAGGACACGAACCTATAGCAGTCGAGCTTCCATTTACGACAGCGAGGTAAAGACTTTGTCCAAGACTGAAAATGGAATAACTGTTCGACTCAGGATAGAAGACAATTTTCCACTAATCATCATCGAACAACAGTGATATAAGCATGCATCATGTTTTATGTGGTATTTTTATCCAAACCCCTACTTGTTGATTTCTAGCGGATGTATTGTCCGGCCTAACGCTAACAGCCGACACTCCAGTTGTTGGATCGGGCGGGTCCATTGTCAGCCAAAGGTTTGAGTCCAGTACGCTACAAATTCGGTACTACAAATCATAGGCATCGTGAATGATGTCATGTAAGAGTGTATCAGTGTTGAGATCGCTTTAACAATCTGCGGGGCAAAGATTGTAGACTGACAACGCCCTCTTCGAGGCTCGTAGTGAACGGAGGCATTGTATTGCGGCTTGGAGCAATAGACTTGAATCGGCTTGTATACCAGCTTACGAGGCGGATATCCGTGGGGAACACTGTTCGAGAGTAGAGACGAGGGGAGAATTAAGAGAAGAAGGCTAGCTGCGGCTTGAAATGCCAGGATTATATCACAAGCGGTCGATCATGCATGCAAAAGCTCTCCATGATCATCGATACAGGGGCAGTGAATGATCACCATATCGGGCTGATCAGTCACTCCGAATGAAATCTTGGGCGGTCTGACCCCATGCAGACCGATGTGTTGTTATCAGGCGATCGGCAAAGTGCCGGTCAGATATTATCAAATCGAAAGAGATTTACAATCGTCGTAGCGTAGATGGCAATGTTGTTGAACGCCTTGTACAATGTTTAGCAAAAATGCCATAATGCCACAACCCCCTCCCTTCGGTGCAAATCCACTCTGACAGGGGTCATGATGCAGCTGTGTTCCTCAAACCGAACAGGTTCATTCAGACTCTGAGATGATGTCAGTCTGATGCTAACCAAAATTCAAGGGTCGGGTTGGGGACGCACAATATACATGAGAAGTCAACCATTCCCTTTAGTTGCGACCAGACGAGAGGTCGTTATATACCGCTATCACTTGGTCCAAGGTTCAGAAGTGAATACGATGAAGGGTAATTTGGAGTGTTCGGATCTTCAAGATCTGATCCCTCCGAATCCACAGGTTCAAAGATCCACTGGAGGCAAAGATAAGTGAGCACAACAGTAGGGATGGGATAATAAGTTCCATTGAAGCGTACGCGTTGCCTATTCCCATTAGCCCGACTAGAGGTAAGTCTGGTCGTCATGTGCAGCTACGCAGAACGAAATCATCCAAACGGATTATTAACGTCCTCACGATCTGACACGTCGAGTATGGGACACTCACATGTGGTTCGCCTATTGATACCACCTGATCTGAACCTGGGAGGCACAGTCTAAAAGAACATTACAAATCTCAGTGAACGGTAGAGCAGAGACTGCACCACAGAGGTACGCGTGAAGGCGACTAATACCCACACGAACTCGCCCGTTTCTTCACCGTGTAATACAACCCAAGGGAAAACTTGATTGGAAGCTATAATTTGAAACACGATTCGGATATTTCACTCAGTGAACTAAATATGGACGGAAAGGGGGAATGGAATCATGCACACCGACAAAATTGTCGAAGCGGCCCAACGTTGAGATGAATCGTCCGGAATATACACTCTGGAAGATATACTGCTGTGCCTCCTTGATAAAAAACACTTTCCACTATTATGAATGTGATCATATAGCCGGTTGCCCGGTCCGAGGTTATTGTAGCGCACGTAGAAAGTGCCAGCGACGATTGTTAGCACAGATAAGACATGCGCTCCGAACAATACGGTCACGCAGATCCACTCCAAACTTACTTGCTGGGACTTACTCCTCTCACCTGAAAGCTCCTTTGAACAATTCAACAAAGGGCTTGAAGAATGAGGCTTGAAAGGAGAAGGAGGAAACGTTTCATCTTGAGTCAAAAGGCCCCGCGTGGTGACGTTCCGGATCTTGTACTGTTGCCTCGTAAGTGTGGACTGTAATAGCAAGTTATAGTCCGATCATACCGTTCCCGTTTTCAGAGATCCTCCACTGAACGATTGGATCCCAATTGAGGTCCAAGCACGAGATCGGGTCAGCCATCATTACTTGCCGAAAACATGAAGGAGTTACTAAGGGAGATCTTGCAAAGCGGTGGGATCCACATCTTCCTCTGCCGGTTCAAATGTCCACTGTTGACACAACATTAGGATAGAACACAACCAGTCCGGCGTTAAACGCACCCACCGTATCATATGAAACTAGAATGGGGGGAGGAGGGGATTCAAAGGTCATCCGAGTCAGAAGCTTGACCTATTGTGAAAGACACCATGATCTGAGAGGCGGGATTGGAGAAGGGAGAAGCTGCAAACCACAGTGTTATCATTTCCACTTCCGCCATCCAACCGCGCAACGCTGTGAAAAACACCCCCCTGGTGCTGAATACTGAGAAGAAAATCAAACATGAGATTACTCAGGAAACAATGATGAGAAAGAAACAAAGTACACACTAAAACTCCCCTTCCGATTCCGCCTGTCTTAAATCCCAGTGCACAGCGCGTATCTCCTCGTCCACACCCGTGAAAATGGATCCAGTCGTCCCGTTTTCTTGAATGCTCAACCAGCGTCCAGTACCAACGTTTTTGAGGAAGTAGGTTTGGGTTAAATCGTGGAGTGTTACTTCCCACTAGAATTGATCCCAAATGTAAAGTTAGATGAGTGAGTGGTTCAGATTCACGACGAAGGATAAGTAAAAGGGAAGTGAACGAGGAATTCAAAAGTGCGGAAAGGAGAATGCATGCACAATATGTAGCAAAGACGTACTCGTTGGGCAGTCAAATCGGACCGGTACGTCCGCCCCACGACATAAGGGTATTTCTGCCCACTTTGAGGCGTGTCGAGCATGGTAAGGTACGTCCTTGAATGGGCATTCGCGATTCGATACTGTGCATATAAGGGGTTTGATTCGGTGCAAATAGGTCGGTAGAATTGGAGAGTCAGGTCACAATATTTCTATGGTAACCTGAGAAAGATATTCACAGTTCCTTCGGGAATAGCTGGGACCCTGTGGAACCACCAGAGCCAGAACCGGAAGAAACGATACCAAATTGAAGCCACAGCCGAACCATGAGAGAACATCAGTGAGCAGACAATGCCGCAGCATCAGCAAGAGGAAGATCCGAAAAAAATTATAATAATTGGTACTCACTCCACCAGTGGTGGTGCCTTCGGAATCCTCACAGATCTCGAAACCCTGTTGAATTTCCACCTCTACGATTTATTGGGATCAGCACAGACAGTGGGGGGTCGAGAATTATCAGATCGTCCAGCAGGAAATGAGACATAAAACTTACTGCTTTCGCTTCACTACCCTCATCGGAAATGATAACCTATCAAGCGATAAACATTGGTGAATGCGAAAACAAAATGGAAAATGGGCCACGGGGAGAGGAAATGGTATGGTTTTACCCGTGAGCCACCGATGTATGACGCAAAGGATCTCGTTGGGAAGTACAGGATACTTCTGATCGAACCATAAGATCAAATGCAAACATTGCGCTCAAAGACAAAACTAACTGTTCCTGGTCACCTCCCGGACGCAGACGAAACGCAAGTGGCTTAGGTCGACCTGCTCAAATCATTCAGAAGGTGTGGGATTGCGCGCTTATTCATAAAGTGAGAGGGCACGAGCCTTCAAGAACCCGGGACCATCCTACAGAGACGTAAAGACTCTGCCCAAGATTGAAAAGGGAATAACTATTCGACTCGGGATAGAAGATAATTTTCCACTAATCATCATCGAACAGCCGTGGTTTGAATAACGATACCACATAAAACATAAAGCATGCTTATATTCGTACTTGTTGATTTCTAGCAGATGGATTGTCCGGTCTAACGCCAACAAATGACGGGCTTCCCTGGTAACCTGGATCGGGCGGGTCCATTGTCAGCCAAAGGTTTGGGCCGCTTCCATTACAGATTCGGTACTGCAAATTGTGGACATCATGAATGATGTCACGTAGGAGCGTGTCAGTGTTGAGATCGCTCTAACAATTTGCGAGGAAAAGCTTGTAGACTGACAACACCCTCTTCCAGGCTCGTAGTGAACGGAGACATCGTTTTGCGACTTGGAGGAATAGACTCGTATCCCAGCTTTCGAGGTGGATATCTGTGGAGAGCTCGGGAGTAGAGTCAAGAGGATTCGCAAGCGGTTGAATTAAAAGCTCTCCATGATCGGGACAGTGAATGATCGCTACATCGGGTCGATCAGTCAGCACCAAATGGAATCTTTGAGGGGTCCAAACCAAGTAAAAATATATACCGGATCGCCCACGTGGGGTAATGAAACAAATCCAACGAAGCACAGTCGAGATCAGAACGTACGGGTCCTTACTGCAATGCACACCGGCCATTAATTGTCTCCAATCATTATGCCCTCCAGGGAGTTTGCAGGTATTAATTGCGAGCTCAAGCGGGTGAAGATCTATTCCTCCAAGTATCTTCGGAGACAGAAAACACTTGGATCCGAACGTTGATAATGACATGCCCGCGCGTTCCGCCGCCAATGCAAAAATTGCCCCAGTGTCTAGGCGATAGGGATGATAGGGGTCTTATCCCATCTCGAATTATACGCAGAACAAATAATCCTGAAACCTAAAGCTCAACGCTTTTGTCTCACATGGTGCATCGTCGTGGTTGCAATACACCTTCGATGTACGCGTGGGCAGGGGGCCCGCTCAAGAACGGATCCTACGGTACATATAAGATAAGTCAGTACGGGCTAACTTGATTACATGCAATGTGGGGACCCCACCCCTCAAATCCTCTCTCGCCGAGTGGGGGGCGTTGAATGTCAATCGTTGGACTGTCAATCGCTGGACCCAAGCGCTCCCTTTGCCTTTGACTCAACGCCTAGAGTTTCGCCAGAAATTTAGGATCCCGAGACGGAATACTTTGAAAGGATTTTGTGCGCGCAACCTCCATTAGGCCCATCAGGCAACCTAAAATAGAAGCACATGATGTGTGAAACGCAGTTCGGGATCCAGGTGGATTGGAATTAACCTAAGGGCTAAAATGCCCAGTTCGGTGACGGGGGTTGCGTCGAACTGCAGAAGAGAAAGGTGCATAAATAACACACGACGTCCATATACAAACACAGTAAATCTCTGCCGGACAAGATCGAGATTCCCCGGGCAATGGTCAACTGCGAAAGTATTTTCTACATCAAGGGGATAGAACGGTCCAGAACAGGTGATCACTTAGGACGTCCATCCTGACAGAAGTTGTCCGAATGATATTGTAATATTGTAATATTGACAGGTAGGACACTTTTGGTAGCGGGTATCCGGTCCCGCTGTCAGTTGTGGGACGCCGCGTCAGATGTCAACCCTCAGGACCAATATAATGATTGTTATCACAGCAGTGTTAGTGCTGAAAATGTGGTCGAATGGCAGACCACCGAGGTTTAGCCGCGACCTTGCGCTTCCAAGTCAATCGGATCCGCTCAGTCCCAGCCGTGTCCGGTTTGGAAAAACAATACCGAGGGAGATGGACGACGCGAGGAAATTGACCCGGAAAGGGTTGTGGTTGTTCTGAAGCTTTCCAGGACGTTGGTATTCCGCGCGAACTGGCATCACGTGTAGCGTGACTGCCAAGTCATTTTGCCGACACAAACATGGCGGCTGCTCTTCTTCCAGCCACTTCCTCTCACTACCAGTCCGCCAGTAGCTTGGCCCAATCCTCATCGTCGTTGTCCTCAGCGAACCACATCATCGTGCCGTCCGATCGAGCTAGCAAATACCGTGGCGCCGTCGTGGAGGATTTACAGCTACCCCCCGCCTTCTCTCTCCCGCATTCCGAGCGCATATCTAAAGCTATTGATCTCGCGTATGAACGAGATTTCTCGCATATCCCGTGAGCATTGGTTCTCTTCGTATCCTGTATCAAGACACTCGCGGCCATGTCTTAATACAACATTCTGACACGATTCCTTCTTCAGAGTGCTGTCTAAGGAACGAAGACCTCTAGGATATATTGACGTTGCCCAACTCAAGTCCAAATTCGAAAGCGGCGTCGCAAACCCGGTACGCGTAAAACAACTTTTATCCCTTCCAATCACCGAGGTGCTCGTTATCAGGATGATTCAGTCCTCTCCCACATGACCAAATTTAAGAGGAATTCCAGGCTTGGTTACACATTGATAACGCCCGACACTCCGTTAGAAGTCCTGGAAGAGTTTCTGGAGAAAAACTTGTTTGCGCTTGGTGCAACCCAGTCCCTAATATAATGGATCATGCGTTGTCACTGACTTGTATCCTGATGTAGTCACCGATTACGCCCGGAAATTCGTCCTGGCCGTCGCAACACAAGACGACCTCAACAATTTTGTGACACGGAGAGGGAATGCCTATTCTTAGGCTTATGTCAATAACAACTCGGTTTGCCTTACTGTACATAGAGAATACTGCTTTTGGGACCCAACTTCCATGTTATCACTTGCGAGCAGCCTCCATCTCCAGAAACCACAATGATCGACATTGATGATGTAAGCCAGTTCATCTGAAAACAATTTTCCGGATGCATCTTATCAGATTAGCAATAATTAATATCTGATAAATTTGTTGTTCGCACCCCCCAAGTTCGCACCCTCCCTTTCTCAACTTCCCCCCCCCGACTTATTTCTGAACGACCAGAACGCAGGAGGAAAAAAATGGTCCAGAACGTGTTTTCCGTCCCTGTGTTCTTCATCATCCTCAGAGAGACCATCGAAGCAGTGCGTGACTACCAGTTCCTCAACTCTTTCCCTTGACGTTTCTCACGCAACTTTCGACCACGGTGGTACCCTTGCCTTGCCCGTCTGTAGGGAATCATCGTTTCTATCTTGCTGACTTTCGTAAGTCATTATCAAGAATAACCAGTCTTGCCACCGCATTCAACGCGAGTGTTTTTTTTTTTACCAGGCTTCCCAACTTACACGGGGGGGTGTGAATGGTCTGAGGGGCCATAGCGCGAATTCGGGTTCTGACGACAATCAGGTAACCAATGGTCCAACGGACGAGAAGACGGACCGAGATGCCATTAATGGCATAGAAGCACTGAGTCGCTCTGACCAGCGTGCAGAAGACCGCAGTGCACTGACCAACGATCAACTCCTGCGAAAGCTCCGTATTCAGGTGAGAAATTTGGGTGATATACCTGTCACTCAAGACGCGATCCATGTCAACTATTGCATCTTCTCCACAGATCTGGGCTGGTGCTTCAGCTGGTTTCGTTATTTCCCTCGCTATTGGTGGTGCTTTCATCGGAGTCGTGAGTCCTTTAGCCGCGGCTTGACATTGAGCCATCTTCTAAAATCACCTCAAAAGTTCTATTCCAACAAAGTGCACAATCTCTGGGCCAAATCCGAATACCTGTGGGAAGGGTCGTTCTCCCTCATCGCATCTCTACTCATTCTTGCTATGGGTATCACGTTCCTGCGTCTCGAACAATCCAAAATAAAATGGAGGATTAAGCTTGCGCATGCATTCGAAAAGTCAACAAGTGCGAGCGAGGAGAAGCGCTCGAAGGCGGGCAAGTATGCCCTGTTTTTCTTGCCCTTCATCACTGTCCTCAGAGAAGGTTTGGAGGGCGTCATCTTCGCCGCTGGAGTGGGTTCAATCATTGTTCCTGAATGGCAGAGCATTCATCACAATATTCCACTCACAGGTATCGCTGAGTGGACCTGGCACTTCCATCCCCCTCGCGGTGATTGTTGGTGTCATAAGTGGCATTTTCATCTGTTGAGTTCGGTCCTTTCGGAAAACCTAGAAACGTTGTATCACTCACAAAAGCCGTTCTTAGCATATATCATATATACATCCACTTCTCATCTCACACTTCATTACTTCCTTATTGTGTCGACGTCAATTCTTCTGCTTGTCGGAGCTGGTCTATTTAGCAGTGCTTGTGGAGATTTTCAAACATATGTCTTCAATAGGGGCGTTGGTAGAGACGTCAGCGAGACTGGCGATGGACCAGGAAGCTATGATGTTCATGGAATGGTATGGCACCTGGTAAGAAGATTGTCATAATACAATCAACTGGTCGCTGGCTGATCACCCATCTCAGACATACGGTAATCCCGAGGGTGGCAAGAATAAAGGGGGAGGATGGTCCATTTTCCGTGCTGTGTGAGTGGAACGAAATAACTACTTTTTTCGACATCAAGTTTTGACCTTGGGAGCAGCCTTGGTTGGACGAACAACGCCACCCTTGGTACCATTCTGTGTTACTGCTTCTACTGGATTGCGGTCATCGCCATCCTTACGTGTAAGTCCATTAATGCGCTGTCCTCGATCCCTCAGGATTTGATTGTTTGAAAAATAACCACTAGACATGAAATGGTCCGAAGGTCGCACGACGATCCTTGGCCTCAAATCCAAGGCGTGGTACGAGCGTCGAGCCGCCCGTGAGAAAGTAGTCGAAGAGAATTCGAGCTCCGACAAAGGGAGCCCTGAGGGTGAACTCGAGCCCAGGCACCACGAAATTGTGTAAATGACTGGAATGATTTAAGAGATTTCATATCTGTTGTGCAGATTTTTCAATGATGTAGAACTCCCTGAGGTGCCAATGAAAGTTTGTTCTTTAAGCAAGTTGAAAGGTCCTGTTTCTTGGCGGATACTTGGGAGTTCAGAAACTATTGGGCGATCAGGGTCTTGGAAGTGGAGTGATTTACAGCAAAACATAGGTACATTAGATACGAACGGACGCATTTGCCCTGGAAAAATGGAGATAAAAGGTTAAACTGCGAACGTGAAACGCAAAGAAGGCGTACCTATTGGCTGTAGCTAGCTTGTGTTGTTCCTCCTTCCACTTCAGACAGTTGCTATTGCCCTGAACAATAGCGATAATTTCCTTTGCCAGACGATGCTCCAGCTGGAAATCACCTCTCATATGACTTGCTTTGATTATCCATCTGAGTCCTTGCCCGGTCCGTTGCTTGCTCGTCAAAGATCTTGGCTGTGGAACGTTCTTGTTTCGCCGCTTCAGCGTCACTAATTTAACATCTGGTGAGGCTAGCTCCACGGCTTGACGGAGAATGGGTAACGGGGAGGCGTTGGTCAGTCGATGAATCGTTGTGAGGGTTTCGGACACTTGACGGATCGCTTTATGTCGTTTTCCCGAGCGCATGATGAGGGAAGCAAAGTATGTTAACAGTGGATCAGCTACTGGTGCCATATGTATGCCCTTCGGAATATGGTACTTTCGAGAAGATGGACTTGAGGATGGTGAGGATGGTGTTTGGGACATCGAGGGCATATTGTTCATTAGGTTCAGTAAGGGAGCCATTGAATATGCTCCTTCTGAGGAGGAGGTAGTAGGCTCTGATAATTTGACGGAAGACGTAGACAGT